ACACTTCCCCCTTCCTCCCTCCCTCAGCCAGCCAGCCTCTCTCCAAGGTGCCAGTGATGGCTTGAGAGTGCAGTGCGGTGTGCTGTGATGGATTGGAGTGTCACTTTATCTTTTCTCTTCTGTGTGATATGAACTGAAGAGGTTTTTGCTGATTGTGGTGTGACTCTTTCCCTATTATAGCATGGTTTGGGGGTTTGCTGTTGTAACTGGTGTGGGTGGGTGGAAGAGACAAGGGGGAGTTGGAGAGGGTGTGTGTTTGTGTGTGTGGGGGTGTATGAGAGCGTGATGACATCCCGATGACATCCCTATCCATGCATGCTTCCATCTTTTGCTGTGTCGACTTCACGGCTGCCTCTCATTACTGATCCGCTTCTTCTCCTGGATTAAATCTTTAGGGCAAGAAAAAGCTAAGACTGAAATTTAAATGCAGTCCATGAAGGGAAGATTTTCATCAGTACTGAGAGGCGGCGTCTGTGACGTTTGTTGTGACTATCTTGTCTTTGTCTCGTGTTTGTCTGTGGATGTATTTCCCTTAAATACGTAGTATCAAAGATAAAGGCTCTCCAAAAGAGTCTGTTACATCACCCTTTAAATGGAGGGTGGGCTTCTCACTGCCACAACCATCCCTCCCTGTAGATGGCAAACCAAGGAGAGATACTTCAAGTCCTAACTTAAAAATAGACTCCTCTACCAGTCTCTCCTTGCCTTTCCTTCACGGGTAAAGTGGCAAAGAAGGAGAGACTGCACAGTCCCCCAAACCCAGCCGCTGTAATCAGCTACATTTGAAAGCTGGCCCCTGATGAGCTCCCCGCCACCTCTACCTCCCTCAGCTAGCATCGCCGCCTGTGATCACGAGATGTACCCTCAAGTGAGAACTGGGAGTGTGCAACTTCTGCACAGCCGTCATGTACTTCCCTTTTTGTGTGTGTGTGTGTGTGTGTGTGTGTGTTTAGCGAGTGAAGAGCAGCAGCTGTTAAAACACTCTGTTGATGCCGGAGCTTGAAAACCTGCCAGTAACAGCTGACTCTGTCATTCACCCCCCCACCACCTCTCCCATCTAGCCCAGGAGGCCCAACCTAACAGGTTTTGTAGGTTTTTCTAACTGACACAGACGGAGGATTGAGTCACCTTCGCCTCCTAACCTCCTCTGCCTCTCGTCTAGTTAGTCTTTAATAATGGTGGATATCTGTGTGAGAACACGCTAACTTCAGAACGCCAACAGAGAGTTTATATTCCCAAACATGCTTGCCCTCTGGGAGTAATGTAAACAATGGAAGCCAGGCCCTGAGATTTCTCTTTCTCTGGCGCTTCAGCACCCCCCTGTCTACCACCCTTCCCCCCCCCCGGTCTTTGTGTCTGTCTAGGTTGGCCCAGCCATACGTCTACCCACAAGCATATGTGCAGCCCAGCCTGGTGCTGCCCTCTCAGGTTTCCTCCGCCGTCAGCAGCAGCCCCTACATGGACTACAGTGCAGCCTACACCCAGTACGCCCAGGCGGCCTTTGAGCAGCAGTACCCGTACGCCGCCTCCCCGGCTAGCTTCCTTGGCTACAGCTACGCCACCAGCCCCACAGCCACCACCGGTCCGGCCGCCGCAGCAACAGCCCCGGCCACCGTCCTCCCCTCAGGCGCAGGCCCGGCCCAGGCCTTCCTACACTATGCCCCGCAGCAGCACATCCAGCCGGACCGTATGCAGTGAGCCTGTGAAGGAAGTGGAGCAGAAGGAGCCCTATAGGTGGAGGTGGAGGAGGAGGGAGTAGTGGACGCAGACCTTTTTGGACAGAGGATGGCAAAACGCCCGATAGGGTGACCCAGCTATCATCAGCAGAGGCTTTCAGGAAAAAGGGTGGGTCTATTGCACTATAGGATCAGAATGAGCCGTTTGCTCATTGTTTAAAGGGGTTGGGAGGGGTTGGAGGACTCGAGGTTCAGGTTGGGAAGCTAAACAGCATAAAATATGTGGTCACTTCCAGAAGCCGACACTTCATTTTTTTATTATTATTATTATTATTATTTTTATCGTCCTTTATTATTGTATTAATGTAATTGTAAATATTTGTTTGTATGCCTTTATTATCAATGTTATAATGTTTATGGCTCAATCAGATGTGTGTCCATGGTGCATATGGATGAGTGGAGAGCCACCTGGGACATGTCGCACCTCTTTCCTCCCGTCTCCAGAGTATCTGGGGCGGATATGAAGGGCACTGCTGCTGCTTTAGGACACTCGGGGAACAGTAAGATATTGGGTGGTGATGTGGGGAGGCGTATACGGCGAGCCTCTCAGCCGTGTGATCCCATCCTGGTGCCGTCCACAGTGAGGTAAAGCACTGTCTGCACCGCGAACAAACTCTCCACATCACAGGACGACGACGAGAAATTTCGCCTCAAGGACAAAACGGAAAGATAGTTTCAAGTATATAAGACAGTGGGGGCTCCATTGTTTTGAGACTGTGATGTCTGGACTACACTTTTTTTTTTTTTTTTTTTAATATTCTTATTCATTAAAAAGAGGCCTTTATAAAAGAGAAACTTCTTTTAAAATCTCCCCCTTTTTCCCCAGACCGCCCCTCCCCACTCCCCCCCACCCCCACCACCACCACAGAACCAAGTGCATAGAGCCCTTTTGTAACTGGCATTTCAGCAGTCGGTCACATTAATTTGGCTTACTTGGGTCTTGATATTTTCAAATGGATGTAGATAATAATCACATGCAGTATGCGGGCGGTGGGGACCAGGAGGACTGTGTATCGTTGTTTAAATGTAGCTGACACTGAGCTCAGACACCAGTGTATTTCTTTTCCTCCTCTTTCTCACTGAGATAGTTGCTCTCAAAGGACATTCATGTACAGCAATTTGAAATGTTTTCAGTCATCAAGTACATTTACAATATTTATATGTAGGTATTTATATGAGGTACTAAGTTAAAATAGCATATTGTTTTTGTTACCATGACTATAGTTGTGGCACTGATGTCATTTAACCGGCAGAGGCACACCTGCAGAGCCACAGGTGTCGTATCATTTTGTTTTCAGTCACCATATTCGTGGATTCGCCCTGGTGCACGACAACCACAGTACAGTCCTTGTCCGGTTGCATCATTGCATTTTATTTTTTTTTCACTAAAGATGTCTTTTACAGTCCCTTCAAAGAAGCCATACCAAAAAAAAAAAAAATCGAAATAAAGACTTTGTACTTAAAGATGCCTCTTGACGTCTTCTTTGATTGTTTAATTGAAGCGAGTCAAAAAGGGAGCTTCCTCCTGTCCACGGTTCACAATGCCACCCCTTGAGTTATTTGTGTTTACAGTATGTAATGTTATTGCAATGTCACTGTACTCATAAAAAAACTGACAGGCAGATGCTGCTGTGATGATACTGTGAAAACCCTGTAGGGTGATGGGGTTCGTGTGTGTGTGTGTGTGCCTGTTATCAAGACAGTGTGTGTTGATCCTGTACAGGAGGGGAGCAGAGAGAGCGAGAGAGAGAGAGAGCGAGAGAGAGAGAGAGAGAGAGAGGCCCCAGACATTTATCAAGCCAAAACACCGCCACCTGCCAAGGGTGCTGGCTGTTCCCCCGGCTAACACACACTTGCGTACGTTCCTTCTCACTAAGAGTTTGGTGTAGGAGCCCTGTCACCCAGGTTTTTTTAAATTATTTTTTCTGTTCAAAAAGACTGCTTGACAAGCTCAACTAGCTCCGTTTCCCAGCAGTGCCTCTCCATGTTTGTGATTACATCAACTACTTTGGAATTTGTGTCGTTTATAAACCTCACTTTGACCTGGAGAGAAAAACATAAAGGTATCATTATCTTATCGTCCTTACCCAGGGTGTAATCTTAGTTTACAGACTTGAGTTAAATGTTTTTGTGTTGCTTTTTTATTGAAATACATTCAGACCTTATTAGACATTCTGCACTTTTACCTGTCATGTCAATGAGATTCAGTTTTTTTCTGATCCCGGATACCCAGTCCCCCTCTTGCGTTTTATTCCATTAAGTTTGGGGACATAATGGGCATGTACAAATAACTTATAGAGTCCACTTGGGGGGAGCAGTGCTTTAAGATGATGTAATGTATAGATTATAAAACGTCGAATAGTGTCATAAAAGGTATAGTATGTTTACATACTATACCTATTGTGACAAATCATGCAAAACATAATTGTGTGGGTTGTCATAAAGTCATGATTTAGGAAATCTTAAACATCATTAAAATTGATAGTTAAGTTATCATATATGTCATAAAAAGGTAATAGTATGTCACAAGAAACATAAAAATTCATACTATATGAACCACAGTAAAGTTAAAAAAGTCTTAGTACAGCATGTCGAAAAAAGTAAAAGTCACAGTATAAAATGTCGAAAAAAGTGATGGTATCTACATGCCAATAAGTTCAGTGACAAAAGTAAAATGTTGATGTTAGCAGGTTTTTACCATGTCCACCTTCTTAGCCTTCTAGTATCCTAACAACTCAAAAGGTTATTTACAAGAATAGCATGATCTAGAATCACTATGGGAAAGAACTACCAGAAATATACTACATTTCCCATAATGCAACTCCGTGGTGTCTTTTGTAAGACCATCCTTGCCTAGTAAATGCCCACGTCTTTTAAACTCCACTCCATCAGTTTGTAATGCACACAGAGGACGTTACACAACTGATTTCACATGTTGAGGGAGTGTAAATGCGTAAATTGACTTGCGTGCCCCTTAAACCGATTCGGTGAAGGTCTGCTGTTCAGATCAGCTTTTAGTTTTTTCAGTGATGACAGCGTAGTGTGTTTGTGTTAAAGAGATGTGTCTGGGAACAAGGCAGCAGGTATTAGTACAAGTAAAGGCTTGATAGAAGCCATGCCAGTGTGTTGGGACAAGTTGCACTTCTTCATGTCACAGATTTTTAAACACACTTGCATTCAACAGAATTGACGCCCATGCTGCTGCTGTGTTTACTGGTTGTTACTGTAGCGATGCCGCTCTGGCCCCCCTCTTTTATCATCACTTTGTCACAGTTTATCTTTCATTATCTCACCTCCTTGTTCTCTGTTTCTGATCTCACTCACACATTTATTTCCTAAACTTTTCTGCTTGTCATTTGTGTTTTTTCTTCCCTTTAACATCTTCTTCTTGTCTTCCCCACTTCAGCACTCGTGGTCCTGTTTCTCTTCACATGCCACTGTTCCTGTCTCCCTCTCTTCTTCCTTATCCCTCCCCTCTCTTCTCTGTCTCTCTATCCTTTTGCCCTTCTTGCGTTCTCCTTGTGAATCCAACCAGAGCGGAGCAGAAAGGGAGCCGAGCGTCAGCTTGATGAACGAGGTCATACAGGCCCAGCAGACATTGTTATGCTGAGTCACCATAAGGCCTCTCTCTCTCTCTCTCTCTCTCTCTCTCTCTCTCTCTCTCTCTCTCTCTCTCTCTCTCTCTCGCTCAGTCTCTCACTCCCTCCGTCTCTCTTTCACATGCCCATGCAAAGTTGGTTCAGTCAAATCTCACTCACCACACGCTTCTCGCTCTGTCGTGCAACTCTGACGTAAAGGGATTCCTCAGAACTCTCATTAAAAAAAAGTCCCACCTTATCAGACCTCGGCTCAACTTTATTCACAAGCAGGCAAAGACACCGCTTGTTTTCAAGGTCTTAACACCATGTAGCATTAGCATCATGTAAAATTATATTTCAGTTATATCAGAAAATTATCAGACCAATTAATTACCAAATAATCAGCCAAACTTGAGCAACCAGTTTATTCTTAATTGTAGGTGATGTGATTTACTATTAGTGCCTCAATCCTGAGCGCAGCTACTTATGACACTTCTTTTGACAAAACTACAACAGTTTGGACCTCAACTTTGTTCTGCCTTTCTCTTTGGCTACATGCTTGCTGTGTATACAATAAGTAATAACTGTAACAGCTTGATTAATCAATCAAAGCAGAGTAATACTATTTTATAAGCTACATACATTTGAAATGATATATAGTCCCTTGTTTAATTTCCTTTCCTTTTAAACTCCTCAGTTTGTAATGGGCTATGATCATGCATTAACATTGTGTCATGGCCTCTAAAACCCCTGGCAGATTCTACACATGAATGAGCGTGTCTCTAGATCCTCCTGTGTCTGTGTGTCATGACAGAGACCAGTCCCTCACGGGTCTGTCGGGGCCTGGTGAGTGTTGTTACTGTGGCTTCAGATAGGCCTCTGATACAGGCTATATTTACCCAGGCTCTTAGAGGAAAGGACCAGACCCCAGAAACCAATCAAATGCTCTTTACTGTGACCTTTCCACCCCCCCACGCCAATAACCCATTCAGATAACGTGGTCTAGTCAAGAGAGATCCCAGTTTCAACAAGGAGACAGTCAGTAGGTAGCTCAAGGGGAAAAGTAAAAGTCCCGGTTAGAACAGAGTGAAGTGCAGGATGGTCTAGTTGAAAAACACAATCATTTGTTTTTACTTGGTGTATTAATGCTGTTTATTCATTATACGCAAAGCTAACTGGGGAGAAATAGTGAGATTAACTGTAAGAAAAGGGAACTGGAGCTCAGAACAACCATAGCTGATAGAGTCACCAATGAAGAATTTCCAAATGGTTGGGACACCTGTACCCAGGTGCTAAGATTTATGTAAGAGGAGGAGGAATGAAGAAAACTTCAAACTGAACTTCCTATGTTACACAACATCCTACATACCTGCACAAAGGTTTAAATGAGGAAGAGACATGAGGCTATAACAATTGAGAAGCAGTTCAACTGGGTGCAAAGTTGGCAATAACCTCGAAAAAAAGCGGAGTAACCTGATCATTCAGCAGAGGACTAGGTCCCTACCATGACCTAGTCAGGGATGCAGGCTGGTGATGAAAAAGAACAGGGGTGAGTGTAGGTTATTTCTTCTTTCAAAAGCCACATTGTGTCCCTTTAACTGTAAGAAGAATGCTATTGCACTTACTTTACAATCACGTGCGCCCCTATTGGGAAACAATAAGCCTTTGTCTTAAGTCATAAGTGTTGTAAGTCAATGGAAATGTTACTTGAAAGGGACTAGGAAAGTGTACAACCAGGGCTGGGGGGGACAAAGATTGAGATATTTGTGGATCAGTGTGAGTTTTCAGGGCTCTGGCAGACACAAGTGCTTATCCAACAACAGGTCTGTTTCCTATCAGCTGCACTGATGGCCCGTCACACCACTCACAAAACTCTTGCTCCTTCTGGCACTTCTGCTGGGGCCGGTGATAAGGAGGCGAGCCAGAGGAGTTAATGGGAGTGAAGAGGAATTAATTAGTTGGCCAGACAGATAAGACAGACATAACAACCGCTGGAGCAGGTTGCACTCTGAGTGAAGTGAAATGATTAAGTGCATCTAAATCAATTTAGGATATATGGGGATAAAGTTGATTTATCAATCTGTGTGTGTGTGTGTGTGTGTG